GCATACCAAAATACAATTTAATTAAAAAAATCTTAGGAGGCTAAGTTTTGGTACTTAGGCATAACTTTTAATTCCAAACAATTTTTCTCTATAACATTTTGCTGAATTTTGTAAAATAATAAGCTTTGATATTGTTTGAGCTACCCTGTATGCTGTTTGACTTGCAACCATTCTAAGTGCACCTAATATGATTATCAGACATGCACCAACTTTTGGCCTTGTGTGTATTTGGGTTGTGCTATTACTAAAAAAAATTCCATATGTTGCATCCTTAAAAAATCACACTGTATACTATCTTCTCGCAGGTTCTGCAGAAAAACCCAAATCTTTGTGTAGATATCAACATTTGTACTAACTCAGATGCCAAAGAAGATGAAGTTGTAGAGGCTGGCGAAAGGGTTTTGGTGGTTTTGTACGGCGGAAATAATTCCTCAGATAATTTAGAAGAAGTAAGATACCAGCGCTTTATCAAATCTTCCATCAAAACAAAAGTGAATCTTGCGTTGTTGCCTCTGACAAAAGATGCTGCTCGCTATCATTCATTAAGAACATACCACCAAGTTCAAAAAGGATGGGTATTGAAAAAAAATCCAGTAGCTTGGGCAAACTGCTGATGAATTGAATCCAATTGAAGCGACCAAGAAACCTGCACCGGATACTTTATTAAGAGTCATCTCATGCAACTGCAAAAAAGTTCCGGAGTTTGTGGATATCGAAAAGCTAGCCGCGCAAATGTTCCATGGCTTGTGGATTTTGCAATGGACTGGACTAGCCTGTGAAAATCGAGAAAAATATTGTTGTATTGAAAGCGAAAACGAAAACAACACAGACATAGAAAATACAGTTGCCGAAGATTAGGATTCGTTGCTTTAGGTAGTATATAATATGTGGCATGGCTAATAATAAGTTAGGAACAGGCAAATATAACAATACAGAACCAGAAGATAGAAAAAAATCGAACACTATTTTTACCTGGGCCATGATATCAGACTAGGGAAATCAAACCAAGATGCTGAAAAAAAAAAGAAGAACACAACAAACATAGGGCGCTATCGGCAAACTAACATGCACTTGAAAAATAAATCTATTTCCATAAACCTAAACTGAAAAGTATACGTCACTTGCATATTACCGGTATGTACCTACGGATTAAAGACCATGTTTCTCACCAAAAAGTCCGCTAAAAAATTGAAAACCACCCAAAGAGCGAGACAAAATTAGAAATATCGAGATAAGACGCAAAAAGAAAGTCAGGGACATTTTGGAGGAGGTAGCAAAGATGAAATGGCGATGGGCTGGCCACATAGCCAGATACGATGACGAGAAATGGACATGAAAAATCCTCGAGTGGAGACCAAGGGAGATAACAAGAAGCATGGGAAGACCTCAATAAAGATCGTTGGACGACATAAAGACAGTGGCGAGCAAACTTTGGATGAGATGGGCGAAGGATAGAGAAAGATGGAAACAATTAGAAGAGACCTACATTCAGGACCCAGGACTGGATAAATAGAGGTTGACAAAGAAGCAGAGAAAAATAATATGTGGATTAGGTCTGGAGATACCACAATAAAAAAAGGCCGCCATTTACTCTACCGCTTGGTGGTGTGGAAATGTGTATTTTGATGTTTGTTCACATTAAATCACAATATACCTACCAGTAGCTCATTACAGATAATAGCTACAATAAAAAGTTGCATATAAAAAGTGTAGAAAATTCAACCGTCTCTATTTTTGGTTTGTACACTTTTTTTCTAAAGACGACCTTTCAAAAGTTATATTAGAAAACCATTTTTGTGCACACTAAATCCAAGATGGCGGACGAAGCCGGCTCCCCCTCAAGGTCAAAAACTCAATTTTTGTTCAGGGCTTCAATCTGAATAATATATGTCAAAATCGCCTAGCGACCTACACTGCAACACTGCGTTTACTTTTGTAACCTCCCCGTTCTGATGTAAGAACCAATTTTATAGTACGGTTTCGGCTCGGAGATACTGCTTGGTTCCCGGTACCATCCTGACGGACCTGGGTTAGTAATCCGAAATCCCCGGTTTTTTAAGTTCAGCAGCGAACCGGCAACGACGGAAATAAAAGACCACGTGGGTAGTCTGGAGGTCTCTTTCACTTATCGTCAGCTGAATCAGAACCCTTGGGCCATCGAGGCTTAGAAACCCAAATCAGCAGTCCCGAGGCCTGTCTTCAATTTTCAGTGGACTTTTCGGTGCGAATGTATCGACGACTCATGGAATTAAGCCCAATTAATAAACTTGCCGTCGCGATTCCGTTTGCGTTTGCGTCCACCGTTGCCAATTTAAATATTAGGAATTCCATAGGATCATTTATATCTTCCGTCGGCCTCACCGTTTGCGTCAGGGTTCCGTTTCAAACAAACCATTTTTATATTTTCCGTCGCCGACTCTTAGCAAAGGTCGTAGCGTAGCAGATTTTAAAGAGGCAATCAAAATGGACTTTTACCTGTCACGTGATATTTACGTCTGGTGGGGAACAGCTGATTATTGAATATTTTGATTTTTGCATGACCCGAATTTTTAGAAAAACTTACAAATTAAAGATGCATGATATAGCACTTGATAGCACGAAAAAATTAAATAAAAAAGCACACAGATTAACATAAACAAAAATAACAAGTTGGGTTAGGTTATGTTTACTTTCAGGACGCAAACGGCAAGTTTATAAATGCTCGAATTCTTTTGACTATGGTAACGGCGAGGCCGACGCAAACGGAATCCCGACGGCGGATTTATAAATTGGGCTTAAGGGTTTATTTCCGGCCGTAACAGGCATGTCCATTATTTTCTCTTCACGTTAACTGGGAACAGGCTTCTTTGATGACCCTTTCACTGGCGTCCTTTAGTGACCCCTGAGATTGACGGAAGTGTCTGTCCAGAGCGTGGCCCTTAAGTGATCCACCACCTCAATCCCGGAGAATTACGCTCAGAGCCTGGCTAATTGTCATGTGCGTGGCACAGCGTGAGACAGCCAGCAGCCAGTATTGTCTTTACCAGATCTTGCACATCTTGCACATAACTCCATTTTTTTTCTTAAGTATCATTATTATTATCCATTTATTTAGCTAGAAATACTGGCAAATCAACTCCATGATACTTACTAAGCATAAATCAAGTATCAGAGTAGTTTTGGAAATTGTTTCAAGTACCTAATGTTAGGACTCGAGCCACAAAGGACTGTGACCTATATTCCTTTTACTTACACTAATTAAAACTATAATTTTTCGTTTTATAAAAAAAGGTTTCGTTTATTCAAAATATTTATATTATTATCGAGAAGCCCACCACGAATAACTTGGGTGTTGACCCGACAAAGGCATGGCCGAGCCTCTTTGGAAAAGTCTATAAGTGATGAATTGAGTCTACTTTTAAGATTTTTAACCATACTAGGCACCTATCTTTTCAATTACATTATAAATATTGTAGATAGTGTCTGGATTGGTTAGCTTGCAACATCAACATTTAAATTGTTTTTTCTACAGTCCAGTGGCGCCCTTTGAAAACTAAAAACCACAATGTAGTATAACATACCCGGGTTCGTTCAGCAAGATTCAACGATTTAAATTTTTATTATCTCTTCTTTCAACAAATCTTCTGAAAAACGAAATATAAAACAAATACCTACCTACGTTGTTGAAACTTACTCAATTCCACTTACTTGAAAATGCGCCCGACAATAGCAAAATTGGGGAAAGGACCCCGCACACCTCTTATGGGTTTTTGGTTTTCTGTCAAACTCAATGAAATTTTGGTATGTGTTAGACCTTGACTTCCTGATAAAAAGTTCTCATGGGCCCGAACCAATCCTATGATTAGTTTTTGAGATACAGGTACTTTTATGTCCAAGAAATGTATACATTTTATATGTATTCACATCTACCCGTCACCTAATAATAGGTCTGTTTCTGCAAAAATCACAAACTTGTCAGAGCGAATTTTATTGGTCGAAAACAGTCAGAAACAGTCAGAAAACTATTTACAACCAATGAAATTCACTCTGACAGACCTAATAGTAGGTGACAGGTAGGTGTGAATGCATATAAAATGTGTACATTTCTTGAACATTAAACCACCTGTATTTCGGAAACTAATCATAGTATCGGGTTGGGCCCATGAGAACTTTTTATCAGTAAGTCAAGATATACCACATATCAAAATTTCATCGAGTTTGACAGAAAACCAAAAACCCATAAGATGTGTGCGGGGTCCTTTCAGGTAAAATGTGATGTAAAATAAACGAAAAATTTGTGAAACGTCTAATTTATTATTTAAAAAAATCGTACCGTTCCCAAACTGAAACTGACGAGGGGAAAGAGCACGGCAGAGAAACCCTCGATCCCAATTCCTCGAAAATCAAAACATACTGTAACATTTTAATAATAATTGTAAGTCGTTTAAATTAGGTACCGTCCCTGTGCTAAAATTTGTAATTCCACATGTTCCACACACTGCATTCACTACTGAAGAGTTATTGGTTAGTTAGCCAGTCTCACCAGCAGGTACTGAGGTCCCGTACGGGAGGGTACTCAGCTTTAAATGTTATTTTGAGCCAATGTCTCTAGATTGATTATTTCAATTTGTTTGCTGGGATATTCGCTCAGTCAGGGTAGGAAAGTGTAAGTAGATTCAACAAGGCCCTAATGCACGCTCTGAATACCAAAATTAAAATCCAAGCACAAAAGACAGCACATAATTTCTTTGGTTTTAATTTAGTTTTTTTTTTCTCTGCGTTGTTCACAGCATGAAATGATTTTTGTTAAATACATGAACAATGCACATGTTATAAAATATAGTATAAACAATCAAGAAAATACATAAAAATGAAAAAATAATAGTTCTACAGGGTGTGCCAAATTCGAGGGTGACCATTGAGATCTCGGAAACTATTAGAGATACGAGGTTGCATATTTTAGTAAACCAACGACTCTTCCTCAATCAAAAAATAATAATACTTCTATATGTATTATTTTCAGTCAATACGCAAAGTTCTTTCCTGGACCCCATTAAAGATGCCCTATACCTGCACAATTTTATCCAGACAAATAACACTTTACAGGACTGTGTTTTCAGACCTTCTAACCTGAAAGATATGTGTCCGGATCCAGACATAAGGTGAGTTGTCGAGAGAACTTAACTTTTGTTTCATGAATAAATATCATTAAATAAATAAAACACAAAAATTATACGCACCTATGTAGGTACCTTCCCATGCCTATGTAAATAGTGAAGAATAATATGCCTTAAAATATTTAGCAGCATTTGGTTTCAACGCGCATGCTTTTCCAGATTTGTGTTGTACAGTAACAACGAAAAACAAGTATATGATCACACTCAAACTGATTGGCTCAGACAAAGTATTTGGGATCCACTTAAAGAAGACATGTTTCTAATTCATGGATATGCTGGAGGTGATGATACCTTACCAATAAATGTTTTAAGAGATGGTACATATACAAACAAATATGTCTGTTTCAAAACAATTAGTCACAAAAAATATATATTTTTAGCTTATATACGAAATGGTTCCTATAATACCTGGATCATAGACTGGGGAGCACTAGGAGAAGCTCCTTGTTATAGAGCTGCCGTCAATAACTTGCGAGCTGTGGCTAGATGTACAGGTGAATTTCTAACAGGTTTAAGGACAGCTGGATTGCCAACGGATAAAATTACTTGTGTGGGACATTCTTTAGGTAATGGTCAAAATACCTTAATTTTTTTTTTTCAAATCGTCTCTGCTGCATGCTCTATCAAAGATGAGGTATATGTTTTCTCTGAAAACAACATCCAAACCAGTGAAATTTTTGTTGGAAATAATGCAGAATATTTCGCAAGCACTAGTTGCAGCTTATAAGTGGTTTAAAAGAAGATATTATAATAATAATACTGCTATTACTACGCTACTGATTCACCTACCTATTCCGAATTATTTTCAGTAGATATTATTTGAGCTTTATTATAATAAAAAAATAATAGGTTTGATAATTTTTTAGGTGCCCATATATGTGGACTTATATCCCAATATGTACTCTTCCGTCTGCATCGCATAGTAGCTTTAGATCCTGCTAGACCCATGATACTCAATCAAGTTAAACTAACCTCGGGAGATGCCGCAGCTGTTCACGTTTTGCATACTAATGCAGGTCATTATGGGGAAGGAGGTCGGAATGGTCATGTAGATTTCTGTATAAACGGTGGCAGAATACAGCCATATTGTGAAAATAAGAACAGTAAGTGTGAAAAGTGAAACTTTGAAAAATAACATACCTTTAATACTACATTCTCAATCAATATATAGTTGATGCACAGCTGTGTAGTCACATTTGGGCTATTTGCTACATGGCAGAAAGTTTGGTGCCCACTTTACAAAAAAAAGCAGAGCCTTGTGCTAGAAGATGTCCTTCAGGACCAAGACCTGGAAATAGAATTGGAATTCCGGTGATGATGGGGCAATCAACACCACTAACGTAAGTTTACTTTATATGATACCAGAGTAAACAATGTTTATATTGGTCTCACAATTCGGCCGATCGTCGAAATAAATAAACAGTCCACTATCGGACATAAGCCAAATCAGCCGATGGTCGAGGAGATAGGGGTGGCTCCTCAGAAAAACATATACATACAAATCTAAAACATTTAATTGCTTCCACTGGGTAAGAGGGTCTTACCAAAAAGGCACTTGGTAGGCACGCCATAAGGTTCGTACCTAGCAGATTCGTTCAAGAGTTAGGCCGCTAATGCTTGGTTCAAGTGCACTTGGATGACAACTTAAACCAAATAAGTTGGCAGCCAGCCTAATTACTTGGATGTCAGCAGCCAGCCTAATTAACTGGACTTCGATAAACATTTGATACGATCCAAGTATCGTCCAAGCAAGGCTTGCGCAGCGTCCAAGGGCACTTGATCCAAGTACACTTGGACCGTGTCAACCTGGCAAGCAACATTTTACAGTTGTACAAAAACCTTAGTTTAAGGTAAACTTTCCTTTCAACGCTGTAAATTTTTTCGAGTTTTCGAGCCTTCCGTTTGTGATTGTGTCAGATGGACTTTTCACACAGTTTCAGTCTGATCTATGTTTAAGATGATGAGGGCCATTTTGATTGTTTTGTGTGTTTCGAGTGAGATTTGGCTCCAGGCATGGTGAATAGAGAGTGCTTAACCAAAAAAAACATAGGTGTAAGACTATGAACATACGAATCCAGCCTAACTCTTAATTATATTCTTAATTTTAACAAAGAATAACGAACTAATTAATTTCAATAAACAATATAATATAAAAGAAAATTGAATTAATTAGATACTGCCAAATTGTGAAATACCAAAAAGCCTCTCAATGGGATGCCTGTTTCCAGATCTCAGTTACCAACTCGATTTTCAAACCTGCTCTCCGTAACTGACTGCATAAGTTCAATGTTTTGTGTTTGTGCTGACGAAATGTTTTTTTCTAGGGCTTGAAAAAGTAGGCTACGAAACGGTGCCAAAAGGAGAATTGGTTTCATTTTTCAAATACTCTTTATACCCACGAATCCTATCTATCATTTATCAAGGGGACGAAATGTTACCTAATCAAAAATATTTAATTAAAGTAGAGAAGAGCATTGCAGTAAAAATCCACCATAATAGATATAGTTACTTGAAAGGGGCAAAGTACCATTTTATCCTCTTAAATAAAGTAATTAAATATCACTTCAAGTCCCGATTATACATTCGAAAAAAATATATAAACCTACTTGGAAGAGTCAGATTAGGGGAGAGTCGAGTATTGGTGCGCACCTAAGCCACTCACCATATTTCGGAAAATATAAAAGGTCAGGATATTTTTCTGTGATGCATATCAATAGTTTGATATATAAGCTACTATATATTCCCATGTCAAAACGGTACAGTTTGAATTAGGAAAATGACAACAGCCGATTTTGTAAAAAGTTGCATTGCGCACAATTACCATACAAAAGCGGTTAAGGGGATTGAATGCGCCTCAATGGCAAAATATTTTTTCCTGCGCGAAGCACCTAACGCAGTCTATCATTGTATTCTTCCTCCCCTATTAATACTTCTTAGTGGGAATGAGATGAATGAAACAAGGAATGCATTGCGTTCGTAATTTCAACGTAACCTTTTAGCAGTTGAAGTTATATCAAATTTCTTTTTTGCATTCGATTTTTAATATAGGGACGAATGGCGCTATCCTTTTAGAAATCCGTAAATAGAAACGAGTTCTCGAAAAATTACAAAAATGTAATTCAAACTGGAAAAAAACGAGAAAATTAATCAATTTATGGTGTTTTTTTTAATTAGCGCCAATCTTATGTGTGTTAGCAATACAATAGCACAAACCAGAATCCCAAAAATTATCTAGTTTTTTTTTGTAGAAATTTAATTAATTCTTCTTGTCATTTTGCCTGTCTCTGTTATACCTGCAGCAAACCCTATGGATCTTTCCTCCGCCTGTTTTGCGAAAAATTTTAAATCGCTATCATGAAGGATCTAGCGCCAACCGGCCCAACAGTAGCCCAATGCAATAATCGCGATGAACCTCGCATCTTTATTAGTATTAACTTGTTGGGTAGTCGTATAGTTTGACGTGCGTTACAATATATTTTAAACGGCGCATTCAATCAATACCCTTAATGGTGCGCATAGGTATGGTAATCGTGCGCACGCTAAGCGGTTGTAATGTATTGATACTTAAATGCATATATAACGACAAAAATTGTTGCTAAAGAAAACAGGAATATGAAAGAAAAATGAACTTTATTCAAATACATAGGATTATAAATTATAAGTTAGCTTGAAACTATAACTAACAACTATGACAACTATAATTGAACACAAAAACTTAAAATAAAATAAACTGAAACTAGTAATTCTTTGGTTATTAAATTTATGATTCAAGCAGGGACGGAGCGATGGGGGGGGGTTCCTGAAATATATCGAAAGTTGGGAAAACTTGGATAAAAAATTTAAAGTTGGGAAAAATTGGTGGACAAAAATTTGCGAGGACTAATTAAAATAAACATACATCAGGATCGTGTCACGTGTTGTAATGAATTGCAAAATCACCGTACAACAGGTTGACGAAATCCCAATGGTCGGGGCGATCTCTTGCGTTGCACATTGCACTGCACTAGCACCACTAGCCTGTGGCAGTGGCACGTGGCATTCGTGACAGTAGTGGCTCTAGCGCCACTAGCACTATTCACTATTCGAGAGTCAAGACCGACAACCGACGTAGTTATATCTATAGCTTGTTGTTGCAAGCGCGTCGTGTTTGAGAGAGATGGACAATATAGTATATTAGATAATTCAAACTTCTTATTACTTTCTGCATTCTGCGCATTCTTCGCTCGCTATTCAGATTTCAGCAAAGCTCTGAATCCTGTGCTCTTATGTTGAAGAAATGTTTTTTTCGAACATTTTTCTCATACATGTTTTTTATACATTATTTATTTTATTTGATTATATTATTTGTAGGTCTGGAACAAGGTTGTTTGAGAGAGGTATAGGTTGCCTCTGGGCTGGAACTCTGTAACGAATAGAGATATTTTGCTCTATCTCTATTGACGAGTCCTCTCTATTGATTTTGACAGGAAAGAAAAAGACAGCAAGTGCCATAGCGATAGGGAAAACGATCCTTATCCGTCACAGAGTTCCAGCCCTCTGATAATTTTCTTCCGTCATCTGGGGTGCCTCAACATAATGCAAATCTCCAAGGTACCTCAGATTAGATGCGTCATCAAGTAACCCATTATCAGGCAACCTAAAGTCTGTTTTTTTTTTTAAAGATAATTCCCCAAGTCAAAAATTTAATAACTATGTTGGCAACACAAGCCATTTCTACATAAAAAATTTGAAAACATTGACAATTTTACATTGTATTGCCAACATAATGTCATTTTGACTTTTATCTTTAAAAAAAAACAGATTTTATTAACTTTAGTAATCTTGGGTCTGGAATATATACAGTCGTGAGCATGAAAAGTGGGACACCGGACTGACAGGTCTAGTCCTTTTTCACTATTTTGGGTAAATCAGTCTTTTCCCTACAATGGATTTTTTTGTCAAATATGACAATCTCTGTCATTGCCATAGGTATAGCTGATGAGCTCGTTTTACAATAGGAAAAAACGGGTGTCCCACTTTTTATGCTCACTACTGTACATGTCAAACTTTTTATCAGTTTTTGAAGTGAAACTTCTTAGGCGGCGGTCTGATATTTAGAGGAGAATATGGAGAGTGATTTGAAAGACGAAAGACGCATCATGTAACGTCACGTTTTGGCAAATTTCGCTACAGGAGAGATGAGAGAGAAGGAAGCTATAACGTAGAGAGACGGAGAAAGACATCAACCAATGACGATGACAGCCGATGAACAATTCACACTAACGAAGGATTATAAGTAAAGAGGATTGCCTATTATTGTCAAGCGCCGATACCCTTGTAACGTCACTATAGATACGCGGACTCTTCGTCTTTACCCCGACTCATAAGCTAAGTCTCAAAGCTGTATAGAGGGTATAGTTTTTGAAAAGTTTCACTTCTTAATACGTATACGATGCTACACATGATTTTTTGGAACTGAAACTTCTTATGCGGCGGTCTGATTTGGAGAAGAATGGAGAGTGATTTGAAAGAAACGTTACGTGTAACCCTTGTGACGTCTCTACAGATGCGCGTTTGTCTATTGTGTAGCCTTTCATCTTTATACCCCGACTCATATGCTAAGTCTAAAAGTTGTATGAGACAAGTTCATGAGGGAGGGAATAGTTTTTTCCTACGACCACATATGAAAATTACAAAATTCGCACTAGCTGGTTCTTTGGAAAGCGCTAAATATCACTCGCGTGCTGAAAGTACTTTCAATACTCGTGCTAAAAGTACTTTCAGCACACGTGTGGAAAATACTGTTGACATTATTTGTGATTGACATAACAATTTACTTTCAATGAAGAGAAAATCGATGTAAATTGGTTTCTGGTCGTAGGAAAAATAGTGTACATCACTCGTAAGAAAGCGTCTTTCATACACTCGTGTGATTCTCGCACTCGGCTATCGCCTCGTGCGAAAAAACACTCGTGTGAAATTTGTCACTTTCAACTACACTCGTAATGTAATATACTATTAAGAAGTTCCACTTCTTAACACGTGTACGACGTATGATGCTACATGTGATTTTTTATGTTTCAATAAAGTTGGGAAAATTAAGAATGTCACCCCCCCCCCCCAAACCAGAGGCCTTCGCTACGTCCCTGGATTCAAGTTATTTGCTTCTGCAAATGAAAACGCTAATTTTTTAAACTGGACTATTGGATTAAAAACAAAAGAAAAATTAAACAAATCTTCAACAAATAAATAAACTAACATAAAGAAAAATAAAATGAACAAAACTGTCTAATCAGAATTTATTTATCGCTTAATGTGCAATACTTACAGCTTATTTTCTGGAGCCACAAAACAACACTGAGACAGGCAAATTTGCAGATTCGGCCATATTTAATATACAGCGTTGCCACTTAGTGTTAGGTAATTTTATGCGTTTACCACATGAAAAATAGATGGCGCGGGAATGGTTTTCATCCATATATCTCAAAGGGTTTTTCGTTTATCATGGTGCGCACCATTATCGAACGCGCACCAATATCCAACTCTCCCCTACTTAAAAAATGGCATTAAACCTAAATTATATTGTAAAATATATATAAATATACCTATTGTATTTTTAGAGCTGCTGGATCATTTTGCGTACATGACAGTGAGCCCCCATACTGTCCGAAAAACTCTGATGATATTGGTGATGTGAGGTGTTGCCTAAACGCTCCAGAGACAAATCCGTCAAATCCATCACCTGCTTCGACCACCACACAAACTTAATTTATCTCTTATAGGTACTTTTTTAAGAATACCCAAAATATTTTATAGTTACATATTATACTGTAATATTAAAGTGGTATAGTTGTGTAGTATCATTTTCATTTCATTATCATTATTATTATTTGGTAACGTGAAATAGAACTTTGAATTGAAAAAAAAATCATTAGGTATGTTTTTATTAGTAGAGAAATAAATGTGTTTGTTGTAATTTCGATCATTTTCGTAGTTTGTGAAAAAATCCTCAATCAAAACGAACAGTTGCGAACGAATTCTTTCGTAAATAAAAATGCCACTGAATCGTCCGAACACATTCGATTGCTTTTGGTAGAGTTCGCTCAGTGAAAGAACCTCAAAAGCAAATTCAGAAAGAATTTTTGAGCCTATTTCTGGTAGGCGAGATTCGCTTTCAATTAAAGTTACCATCCAGTAGCGGCTTGGTGGCTTATTAGTTGCCTGAACGGTATTGTATTTTCCAATTTCAGTGATCTTATTCCACCGAATTTGTTCGCTCTATGTACCTGTATGTGCACCTTAAACGCAAATCCTGTTACTTTTGCACCCAATTGGAGTGAGGCTATTTCTCACTGGAACTATATGCCCTTTTGAGCAATCACCTTTGTTCGCTCTATGTAACAACAGGTTGGGCCAAACAAGTTGTTTTGTTGTGAGAACACACCTCATTTGAAGAGATAGGAAATTTCCAATCCTCGTTTCTGGGGCTCGAATTTTATGTAAAACTCACTGGTTCAAACGAAAATTGGCTATCTGCAACCCATTCGCCGCTAGAAGGCGTTTGTGAAAACTCTGCAATTTAAACAATGCTACGCAATTTTTTTATTTTCAAAGATATTTCAAATCTGAGAAAACATTTCCCAAGAAACTTTCCATGCATGCAAAAAAGAAACATCAAACCTGGTTTGAGGAGAACGACACTGAAATTCAGGATCTTATAGATAGAAAAAGAAACGCGCATAATGCATGGGAAAGCGATCCCAGCTAGACTGTAGAAAAAAGGCAATACCAACAAGCAAAAGCAGAAGTAGAAGAAGAAGAAGGCAAACGCGAGCATGAAAGAACCAATGGTGGATGACAAAATCAAACGACATACAGCAACTTACTGAACCAACAGCACCAGAGCCTTCTTCCAGGCTACTAAGATGGTATACAGACCAACCATTCAAGGACACACACACAAAACTGCTTGAAAACATTTTTTTCATTAATTATCATTAGAAGCAACTACTTACTTGACAGAGAATCACAAATTAATAATTACAGCTTCAACAAAATTCCACAGAAACCAATACAATAAGAACTGAGCGAGGTTCCCAGATTAGAGGAGGTAGAAAAGGCAACGAAAGAACAATATGTTAGCTGGTATTGACGGCATTCCTGCTGAATTCTTTAAACAAGGAGGTCCCACACTAAGTGCCCAAGCTCACATCCTAATAGGTAAAATATGGATTACAGAGACCATGCCTACCAAACTTAGAGATGTCTCCATTTTTAAAAAGGGACACAAGGCTCAGAGGAATATCTTTACTTTCTGTTCGGGAAAGAAAATTCCTAGGATATTATCAAATAGTCTAATTCCAACTGCCGGACAGAACCTCTCAGAAACAGAAACACATTGTGGCTTTAGACCCAACCAAGGTACAGCTGACATGATTTTCAGGGCAAGACCAATGCAAGAAAAATTCAGAGAACAAAATCGCCTTCTATACATTGCCTTTATAGATTTGGTGAAAGCATTTGATTCGGTCAACAGAGAAGCTCTTTGGAAGACATTGGTAAAGGTTGGGTGACCGCAAAAGTACCTACATCCAGATACTCCGTCTACTGAGTAGACGGACTATAGTCTACTGAACTTTATGTCATCTATAAATAGGCATACTTCACCTTTTCCTGAGTTTCTGAGTCCAGAGACCGCGTAAGTGTGTTTCTCAACAAGGTATTATACTCCTGGATTGTATCGACGCTCAGATCCGTATGTAGGTCCACATTAGGAACATACCACGGAACACCGACTATCATTTGGATTACCTTGTTTTGAATTGCCAGTACCAATGTTACAGGGGATATAATATAATGAAAGTGAGTTGGTTCGAAGCGAGCATGAAATGAGATATGGTTGTCCTGGCTGAATTGAAGTAGAAAAATTCCCGCTATATTATTAGCGCGGCACCTCGAAGCTCTATTTTTGCAATTCAAATCACCTGCAGCTATAGTTGGAATGTCAGAACTGAAAAAAAGGTTGTTACGATAAATTTATCATTTACGTAACATGTTTCATTTCTTCTAATTTTCATTATAAAGTTGTAGTTTTGCCATTTCAGAATCAGTAGAAAAATAATTCCTAACTTAAGTAATTTAAAAGTATCTACGAAATTTAGTTATTTCAATATAATATCAGTACTGCCATCTATCCATAATGAGCATAAAAATTCAAATATCTGTTATTAAAAGAAGGTACCGCCATCTAGTACCTGATAGATTTATTTTTTAAAATATGATTTTCATTATTTCTCATTGACAGTCATTCGTATTTTCATTTAAATAAATTATATTTACCTCACTTTTAGCAAATAGATATATTTCTGTCTTTCTCTAACTTCTGATTCTGAAATTATTATTTTTGGCTTAATGACCTAATTAATTAGTGGTTTTTTGTTTTAAACATAACCTTAATTTAAATTATTGTAATTTGTAAACAATTAAAATAATTCTAGTGTGTTTTTATCTATTCCCTTTAAATCAACGTGGTGTTTCATTGATTAAGTGAGCACGGTCTTTTGTGTGTGTTGAGTGTTGTCTTCTGATTGGTCGATCTGGTTAATACGCAGTTAAGTATAAAAAACGCGAAACTCGTTTTCCTGCAGGGTTTTGCTTCTAAAACGGTCTCTTTTTCTGGCAATGGTTGAGCAGGCAAGTCGATATTGCTTATTGTAATTTTTTGCTTCATATTTCTAGATTTTCCCTTGATAATTTTTGAATTGAATTGAATTGATCTTTGTTTCCAAAATTACAATTTTAACTTAAAACTACCTTAACCTAATTATCTTATAAATTTCAACCTATAGCTATCTTACATGATAGTAATATATAGGGTGTTTGGCGGAGGGTTAGCCAAACTTGGTGGGCATATAGATAAGCCTATTTCGGAAATATTTTCTCAATACTCTAATGCCCTTAAGGTCCCCGTTTTTTTTTTTATATCAGTGCTTTTGTATTATTCTCAAGAATTTTCAAAAATGGACGTTTTAGCTTCTGTCACCTTTTAACTTTCTGATATTATCAAGGATACCCTACAGACCAAAAACACACGAAACAAACATTTTCATAAACATTAAAAAAAAGTTACAGAAGTAAAAAGGTTTATTTTTGAAAATTCTTGAGAACGAATGATTAAAAAAAATGGAACTCAAGGCCACAATTGTATTAATAAAATATCTTCCAAATGGGCCTATCTATACGCCTACCAAGTCTGGCTAACCTTCTGCCAAACACCCGTATAATACATATAATATACCATATTTATGTAAATACAGCGTTGCCAGACCCTCGAAAATTAAAGTACTGATCAAGAGGCAAAAAATGTACTGGAAAACGTAAAAATGTACTAACATCAAAAACTAAACTGGAGTTCATAAAACTAATAAAGTAGATGGTTTTAGCATACTTATTTCGTTTTTTTAGGCTTAAGAATATCCTCTCAGCACAAGCGCTGCTTCATGGCAATCTCGTTACATTGTCCACATCAAAGAAACGCACAACACCGGTAATTTGCCGCGATTTTCATGTCATAAAAATTGAACCGAAATTTTTCAAAATCGTTACATTTTCAGAAGATCTGACTTTATAGATTGGGGCAGGTTACTTATTTCACGAAATTTAATGTTAATATCTTCTAGCTTCTAAAGAATGTACATGTTAGGCAATTTAAGTATTAGGTAATAGTTCAGTAGGAATATTGCTATCACCCTTGGAATTTTTTTTGATCTAAGAAACGTCAAACATCTAATCTAAGCAAAACCCTCCTCTCTGGTGGATCTTGTAAGTAATCTTAAACTTCAGCTTAAACTCCTTTTGTCTTGCGCTGCATGCCAAATTTTCGAAAGGTCAGTTTCTGCAGAAATCACAAACCAGTTAGAGTAAATTTCATTGGTTGAAACTAGTTTTCTGACTGTTTTTGACTGGAAACAGACCTGAACTAAGCGAGATTAAACTCCTAATCGAGATTAAGTCCATATACGGGCGTAAAACGGGCGCGGGCTAAAGGCATGTTTGGGTGCACTCAAAATTCTGCTCCGAAGTATTTCGTGATCCCTTTCCGTCCCAAGGAGATTACACACTCTAGGTGTGCTTATCGGTCTCGTTTTTGGTAATCGCCGCCATATTGGTGTGCCACCATTGCTGACGTCATAACTAAGTCGTCAGCTGTTTAAACAGTCTACGTCAAGGCGAGTAATAACATGCTGCCTACGTCACAACTGGTATTTTGGAAGGGGGGGGGGGGGGGAGAGGGGGGATTTGTTACACACAGGCCTTATGAGGATAGGCCATCCTGGTAGTAATAGTGTATATCGTCCTTGCTTCCGTCAATTCGAAAATGCAGGTATTCGTTAATTTTTCCCGCCGTTTAAGGGCCGATACTTTTGCTCTCGATTAACGAATTTGATACGTTGTCAAAGTTTTGCATGGACCACGGTCCTTAAGTATGATGTGGTTAGAGCACATTCTAACCCCTGATTATTTTTAACGGCTGTCAAATGAGAGCAAAAGTACCGGCACTAAGAATATCCCCGGTATTGTACAGCGGCGGGAAAATGTACTGAATTGTATAGTGTGGTACTGACGTACTGAAGAGGGTCAAATTGTATTGATTTCAGTACATCTGTACTGATGCTGGCAACACTGTGTAAATATAAATATTTACATAATGCTACAGAAAGATACAAGTTGAATTGACCGATGTTAGGGCCCCTTTACCAGTATAATTAGGGGCGGTAGTGACAACCAGGCTGGTATGGAACTTTTCTGAGGCAACAAATGCCCCTTTTAGCTAATTTTTCAGTCTCACTTTTCAAAGTATTCCTGTAATTTTATTGTCATCAGAGTCATTCCGTATTTGC